TTTCTAAGTTATGAAATTTCCTAATTTTTTCCTAACTTTGTCCCATTTTTTCATCAAGATATATTTGGATTCAAGCAAAACTCAAAACATGAAAGCTATAGTCCATTGCAAAATCTACAACTTTGATTCACAAAGTTTCCTCAAAAGAAGCTTGTAGCTCAAGTTATGATTTTTGGAACAAGGGTGCAAAACATTTTTAACTTAGAAAATTTTTGACCTATTTTAGGCAGGATTTTTGCCCAACTTCATGACCACTTTTCACATGCTTCCACTTGGAATCTCAACTTGCATTACAAATATGGATTGTAGTACACATTCCAAGCTTTCCAAAATGTCAAGGAACTTCTCAAACACCCTTGTGGTTAGGGAGAATCGAATTTGTCAATATGGGCAAAAGTCACTTTGATTCATGGCCATGTACATGTTCATAACTTAGGCATTTTTGAAATCAGCATGTGCAAGCTAGATTACAGGCCTCTAATCTCATTTACACTCAATAATTAAATGCCAATCCATTGTGTTCTAGCATTATTTTGTGCATTTGGTCATTACATGAAGAATTAAGCCATAATTAAAAAAAAAGCATTTTATCTATTCTTGTAAAGTTACACTTTATGTCAAGTTTACAATCCAAGAGGTACAAAGAAAATCTCTGAGGCACAATGGTATGGACATATCCCACTGATCAAGAGCAAACTTTGCAGCATGCTTGAGGGGCCTGTGGTAGCCTATAACCCAACTTGGCATTTTTGACTTAAGGGAGAAGAAACTTGGCATTTTGAACAACAACTCACATTCCTGTCAAGACAAGCCTAAGCAAACTTATTGAACACATTCCAAACATCAAGCCTGACCTGAAACACGAGCCAACCACCTTCAATACCTCCTCAAACACATAAACACCATCCTCTTGCAAAAACAGGGCACCTGCTGCAGATTAAGGTCCCCAACTCAATCCACTCGTGCACTTTGGCTAATAACCTTGCAAACACATTCCATACCACCCCTTGAAACTGTTCCAAGCCCTAAACACCATCTGTAACACTCCTAACCCCATCTGCCATTTTCATTTTTTCAGTTGTGCAGGTTAACTTCCATAGCTCGTTTCAGCTAGTTCCAAAGCAAGCTAAAGGTTGGAGAAGCATCCCTGGACCTCAAGCAAGCTATACAAGTCCTCACATTGCATTGAAAGTACCTCCTTTGTCATACACGATTCAAGCTGAACAGGTAAGTTTTTGAACTTCTATCTCTCTATCCGAGCATATTTAGGCTTAAGTTTGTGAAGAAAGCATGTTCTAATCATAGCCCTGAAGCCATCCATATAGTTACTTTTCATTTATATTGTGTGTGCTAAGAGTATTCTGAACCTGAACATTAGGAAAAAGTTAGGTCAGGAATTGGGGGGAGGGAAATTCTCTCTCATTTCTGAGAGTTAGATCAACTTCTTTATATGTTTAGAATCGTGACATGATGCTCTATAACATTGTTGTTGTGAGTTTTTGTTGAAAATCAAGGAATCAGAAGATAGCAGGGAAGGAAGAAAACGCGCGTTTTTTGTTTTGAAAATGTCTGGAGGTTGAAGACAAAGTTCTTTTGGGCTGGGCCTGACCTTTTTTTCTGTTTGCACCACCTTTTCACATTCACACCCCCCTGGCCCATTGCATGATATATTTGTCATTTTTTATTTTTTCCTTTTGATTTTGATTCTATATTTTTATTTAAGCATGAAAAAACATTAAAAATATTTTTCTCACATTTTTTTTGCATTTTTTTTGGTATTTATTTGTTTCATTTAGTTCCATATGTAAATAATATATATATATATATATATATATACTTTTATTCAAAAATACAAAAATAATACAAAAAACCTTTTATTTTCTGATTTTATTTTTATTTTATCTTTTGAAAACATTTTCTAAAAAATATACTTTTTTTTTGTAAATAATAAATATTCTTATTTTTTTTGTACATATTTAATATATTTAATATATAATATATATACTTATATATTTATTAGAATATTTAGGATAAAAACATAAAAATAATACATTTTTATTTTTATTAATATTTGACCTCAAAATTACTTTTTTACAATATACTTTCTTTTTATTTATTTTTTGTACATAATTAATAAATGTTGTATATAATAAATAATTAATACATTTTATTTAGCAAATTAGGGTTTTGCCCTAAAAACATAAAAACACTCAAAAAATTAACCTTTTTATTTTTGTTTATTTGTCACATGAAAAACATTTTTACATACATATAAAAATCATTTTTTGCATCTTGCATATTTATTTTATTTTATTTTATTATTGTACAATTAAATACCTTGTAAATTCCATTTGGATTGTAATAGTTTAGATTTAAATTTCTTGCTAAATATCTCCATTTGGACATTTGTACCTCCCATCCCATAATTATGTTGTAATAGTTTAGGACTTTAAATTTCACATTTAAAAGCTTTCTAAATATGCCATGATAGACTTAGGATTCGTATGCAAAAATCAACCAAACAAATAGCTTGACCTAATTCAAAGATAACAAAGCATGAAAATGGACAACACCAGTCACACTTGCACCCCTTAGGGTTACTCCACTTGTTGCCTTCAATAATGGGCCATATTGCATGTTGGGTGTCTTTGGCAAAACAAAACAATATCAAATGATCATGGTCCCTCGATGACGCTTTCGAAAGTTGCCTAAAAATGATCAAGTCCCTTAAAGGAAAAGTTGCCAAAGACACTTGGCACCATTGCAATCATGGTCTAAATGATGACCCGCGCCCGTCCCGTTAACATCCTAACACAAGATTGTCCACCAAATACAATGGTGGAACAAAATTGCTAAAAGGGTTAAAAACATAGAGAGAATCTTTGAGAAATTTAGGGGTTGACAAAACTCTTAGTTACTTGCCAATTTGCAAAAACACTTGCCTATTTTTCAAAACCACACATCACAACACACTTTCAAAACAACTTTCAAAAACATTGAAAACTTTTCAAAAGATAAGTACACCTTTGTATACATCCAAACATGGGTCATTACAAAGGTTGCCACAACAAATGGCCTATTTTCAAAATATTTTCAAACCCACACACAAAGCACCATTTCAAACAATTGAAAATGCAAGGCAAGTGATCTAAGCAAGTAACTAAGAGCCCATGGATAACCATGGATAGAAAGGGTGCTAATACCTTCCCTTTCTATAATCTACTCCCCGAACCCAAGAAAACATCTCAAAGGTTTTTACTGTGCTTTTTAACCTTTCCTTAGGATAAAATAAAAAGTCGGTGGCGACTCTTGCTCAACCGAAACATTTGCGAAAACAAACGCAAAACCTCAAGTCAGTTCTCCCACCACACCACACCAAGTATCCTCAACATCCAACTTATCCCAATAACCTTCCCATTCACATACATCCTTACACCTAACCCTAACCCTTATCTTGTCATTTTTGATGTACTTTAAATTTCTGCCAGATTGGACTGCATAAGAGGTAACTGCTTCCTTGATATCTTCTTTTGTACTAAAATATGTACCCACTTCTCATTTGTAATTGGACATATCCTTTAGAAGCTTGAAAATGGGATACTTCTTTCTCTTGGTAGTATTGCTATCTTCACTATCACATTCACTTACAAGATCCTCACTTTCATTATCACTTCCTTTACTATCTTCTTTATTTGCTTCAGTTTCACAGAGATCAGTTACATCATCCTTACCTTCTTCCTCTTCCAAGTCAGTATCACACTCATCAGTTTCATCATCAAATACAACCTCCTTTGCACTATCATACGAAAAGCTACTATCATCAGAGCTATCATCATCAGAACTATCATCATCATTCTGTCCAACAGCATTTTCACTTGCCTCCTTCTGTCCAACATCATCTTCACTTGCCTCATTCTGTATAACAACATCTTCACTTGCCTCCTTCTGTCCAACAACATCTTTAATTGCCTCCTTCTGTATAACAACATCTTCACTTGCCTCCTTCTGTCCAACAGCATCCTCACTTACCTCATTTTGTCTAACTGCATCCTCACTTACCTCATTTTGTCTAACTGCATCCTCACTTACCTCATTCTTTCTAACTGCATCCTCACTTACCTCATTTTGTCTAACTGCATCCTCTTCCATTACATTCAGGGGTGTCTCATCTAAAATAACTTCACTCTCATCAACATACTCAGGCTGTGGTAATGGGTGTTGAATAAAGACTTCAACACTTAAATGAACCCTATATAGATCAGCAATCTCTAAGGCCCCTTTGTCATCAAACAACAGATTCATTCCAGCAGTTGGATCCCTATAGTATATCTTCTCTATGGCTGGGTAACCTAGTTCCTTAATAGCACCCAATAACTCAAAATAACCCCACATATCAGCATCTACTCTCAAATCAGCAATCTCACCTCCTTCGTACACACTCAAGTCCTCACTAACAAATTAACCACTGTGGTGTATCGTAATATTAAGAATTTCCTCCATTACACACATTGCCCTAAATAGATAGATGAATTTCAGAGAAGGGAGACGAATTTCAAGGAAACCCTAACTATGAAAATAGAATTCTTGCAGAAACTTACCTCTGATGAGAAGTCTGGTTTCACCTTCAAGGAAACATGCAATGGATGAGTGGTAATGCCACATAAGAGTGTCAAACTGACTTATAAGTGGAATTGCCACATGCAATTTTTCTAAACACACGTGTAATGCCACATAAGCGCTGCCATTAAACATGACTAACAGAGTGGATGGAAAGGACAAACGTGGTCCTTTTAAAAGAATTATAGGACCAGTTTGACATTTTTTTTAAATAAAGGACCAAAATGAATCTTGGGATAAACTTAAAGGACTAAAAAGGGTATTTTGCCAAATTAGAATATGTCTATGTTTGATTCATTCAACCTTTTACTTTTCATTTTCATGTATTGTGACAAAACAAATATATAAATAGTATACGAAAGGGAGATTTCAAAATTAAATACTCAAATCGAATTACACAAGCTAAATAATTCTTCACATGCAATATATTCTTGAGCCCCATCTAGGAAAAAGTGTCTAGCTCCACCATAAGATTCACACCTTTCTTTTTCCTTTGTTTCCATGCAATTTCCGCCACTAGTTGTGTACCAATCACTCTTTTTTCTACTACATCTTATGTTGTTTTCTCTTTCTTCACTTGTGACTAAACCTTCTTCTTCTCCTAGTTCCTCCTGAATTTCTGAGCTTGTTACATCTGAAACATCATCTGACTTTTCTGATGAAGAGTCTTCAATTGCATTAATGTCATTGATATGAACTACAGATGGCATTAACGAGACAACCTGCAATATATAAAGCTCATGATCAATATCAGTGAAATGTATGATGCTCATAGTTATAATACCCCACCATGAAATAACTTATCTTACCATATTCATTGTAAACCTTTCCTTGGGGTTATTTCTGAGGCACTTTTCTGATACTAGGACCAATGAAGCAAGTTCCTCTTCATCATAGGAGCTGCTGATTTCAGGATCCATCAATTGTAGGTACTCCCTTCCTCCTAGAAGTGGCCTTGCCTGAAACATTTTCTCTAGTACCAAAGTTGTTCCTAAATATGTTTATAGACTATTTTATATGTAAAAGTGAAACATATTTATTGCTTACCCATTCAACAAGACATTTCCGTCCTTGTATCTTATCTGAAACCATACATCCTGTGATCAATTCTAAAAGAATTACACCAAAAGAGTACACATCTGCCTTTGTCGATACTTTTCCACTCTCCTTACACTCCGGTGCAGTGTATCCACAATTTTTAACACTTTTATCCTTGCAGCTATTCTTCAATTCCCGTCTTTCTTTTGGAAACACAAAATCTCCAAGCTAAGTGATATTTGCGTTGCAATCAAAAAGAGAATTGGTTTGTTAAGAAGTCAAAATAGCTTCTTCATATTGAAATTTAGATTAATATAAAATAGCTTCTTCATATTGAAATTTAGATTAATATAAAATAGCTTCTTGATTTTAAGGTTCAAGGAATTACTACCAATGATTTATAGTCATGATTTAGAAGAATGTTACTTGGTTTTACTCTTCCATGTATTATGTTATTCTCATGTAGATACTTCAGACCTCTGGATACCCCTGTTGCAATTTTCATCCTTTCTCTCCAAGTCAATAATAGTCTACCACTTTTGCCTGCATGATTCCCATATTTCTTTTAGTATTAACTTCTTACAAGTCTATGAACTTGGGTTCAGACCTCATATATAATAACAGTTTATAGGTGTAAGTAACATTCACTGATTTATCCTTACTTGATAAGTACTGGTCAAGCGAACCGTTGCATGCGTACTCATATACGATCAGCATTTGATTTTGTCGTATACATGAACCAAGAAGCGTGATCATGTTTTCATGTCTAGTATTTGCGAGCAACTGAATTTCTGACACAAACACCTTCTCTTCCTGCAAGCTTGAGACTTGAATTTTCTTAATAGCTACTTTCATCTTATTATCCAGCTGAACTTTGAAGGCGGGTCCATATGCACCTTCAGATAGAGAATACTTTATTGAAAATCCTTCTGTAGCAGCTTCAATTTCTTCATAAGTAAATTTCCTTTGCCACTCATTATTTGGGCGTTTACTTTTGCAGATTGAGCATACAGAAGACTTTGAAATACTCTCCAAAATGGTTTCTCCTTGATTTTCATTCAATAAGCCCTCATTTTCATAGCTGTCTTGGATTGGTTTTTCGTCCAGGATTATCTTTTCTTGTTTATTTACTTGTTTTTTCTCTATATCATTCTCTTCTATGTGGAAGCTTTCTTTTTTGTATTGATTTTCCTTGATATGTTCAATCGTATCATTAGTTGTAATTGCTGTTATGAAGTTTGTCTCTGCCTTGCATGTGTTTCTGTCAATCAGTTCTGCTTCCCAGCTTACCGGATCAGCCATCATATGACCTATCAGTAGGTTTTTGTTAGTCCCTTTTATCTACTAGAAGTATATAATAAAGAAGCAAATATAGCATAAATTGAAGCAAACAAGTGCTTAATTTAGTGACTGTTTCTGTTAGATCTCTTGATGTAGTTTTCCTAAATTACCATGTGAATTAGTAGTCATGGGCATGGCCGGCTCATCGTTTGGTAAATAAGATTTTTCTGAAGAAGAAGAAGAAGAATCTTCAATTACACAACAGTCATCTGATTCTGTTATGCCTTGTAATGCAGATACAACCTGTGAAATAAGCCAAATAGCCTTCATATGTATTTAGAAAATTTTACATATATTGGCTTTCATGTATATCATTTAGACTTACCATATTCATTGAATATCTTTCCTTGGGATTCTTTTTGAGACATTTTTCTGTTACTTGGATCAACCATTGAAGTTGCTCTTCTTCATAGGTGTTACTGATTTTCGAATCCACTAACTGTGGATACTTCTTTCCTCCCAGCAGCGGCTTTGCCTAGGAGTGGAAAAAAATACAAAGACAAAATTCTAAAACTAAATAATGACTTGTATATGAAATTATTATATATGAGAAGGCACATTTGTTTCAGATATGCAAATACACATTCCTTTGGAAAAACAGACATTACTCAACCGTATTCCGATATATGAAATTTTTAACATATGTTTCTTACCCATCCAACGAGGTTTTTGCCTCCTTGTAACTTGTCCATTGCTCTCCGACCGGTGATCAGTTCTAAAAGAACCACTCCAAAGGAGTACACGTCTGTCTTAGTTGATAATTTCCCACTCTCCAAATACTCAGGTGCTGTATATCCAAAATCTCGTCCACTTTTATCTTTGTAGGACTTCTTTGGTTCCAGTTTCACTTTTCCAAATCCGAAATCTCCAATCTAAAGGAATACACGGATAAAAATTAAGTTTATTTTCTGAACATAACTATGATCAACTTAAAACATAGTGAGGAAAATACATCAAATCCACCAAGTTTTTATTAAGTACCAGCGGTTCAAAGTCATGTGTTAGAAGAATGTTACTTGCTTTTATACTTCCATGAACTATCTTATTCTCATGTAGATACTTTAAACCTCTACTAGTACCTATTGATATTTTCATTCTTTCCTTCCATGTCAATGACTGGAAATTTCCCCCTGCATAAAGTTTTTGAGTTCTTTAAATCAGAAAAATAATGCTAGTTCCAAGCATAAAGTGCTTATGTTTCATTTGTATTGTATGTAAAAGGTGACAAGAAATGTATTACTCCTTACTTGATAGATAATGGTCAAGAGAACCATTGCATACTTGCTCATATACAATCATCAATTGACTTTTATCTGTACACAATCCTAACAGCATGACCACATTTTTGTGTCTAACATTGGTGAACAACTGAACTTCTGACTTGAATGTCTTCTCTTCCTGCGACCTAGTCATTTGATGTTTCTTAACAACTATTTTCACCTTACTCTCTAGAAGAAGCCCTTTGAATGTAGGTCCATCTTCACTTTCTGACAGAGAGTTCTCAACTGAAAATCCTTTAGTTGCTTCTACGAGTTCGTCACAAGTAAAGTCTTTCATCCGTACAATTTTTGGTCGTTTACTTTTGCAAATAGAGCATGCGGAGGATTTTGATTTCTCTAAAATGATTTCTTCTTGATGTCCATCATGCGAACTCTCAGTAAAGCTAGTCTGAAGTTTTTTTTGAACTATTATTCCACTAATAGGTACAGGTTGTAAGCCTCTTTTCATTTGAACCAAGCTCGTCTCATCTTCTTGATCATGACCAATCATGCGGTTATTACTAATTTTCTGTGCTGGAACATCGTTCTCATTGTGGTTGCTCTTCAAATTTAGTTCAAAATCACTCATCTCAGCGACTACTGTCTGATCCATCATATGTTGATTTATTATCATGTTTCCTAAGTCCAAATCTTTTGGCAGGCTCTGCACGTGCTCATCAATCTGGCTCAATATATCAGAACTTTCATGGGCTATCGTGTAAAATTGATTGTTTTCAACTTTTATTCTTAACCAACTTTCCTCATCAAAGGAGATTCTTTCTATCTGCTCCTCTTTCGGACTCAGGAGATCTATGTCTCTTGAATTTGATACAACTTGAGGAATGTCCTCTGTCATGTTGCACTGTTTTCTGTCTGTTATTCCATGTAATGTAACTTGTGAACCATCAATATCAGACCCAATTCTAGAATCTGATGTAACTAAAGTTAATTCTTCTGTAATATTGCATTGTTCGCTATCTGCAATGCCTTGTAATGCAGAAACAACCTGAAATTTCCCAAATGTGATTTAACAAAAAAATTGTCCACCTGAATATCTCAGAAAATTATGGGGCTTACCATGTTCATGGATAACCTTTCCTTAGGCTTCTTTTTGAGACATTGTGCTGTAACTTTAACCAACCAGCGAAGTTGGTCTTCTTCATATGTGTTGCTTATTATAGGATCCACCAACTCTGAATACTTCTTTCCTCCTAGAAGAGGCTTTGCCTGAAAGACATAAAGATAGAAAAGAATATCAATTTACCTGATGCTCAAGTAAGTGATAGTTATGTATTGTATTTGACTCTTACCCATCCAACAAGTCTTTTTTCTCCTGATATTTTATCCGTGGCATTGCGTCCTGTAATCAACTCTAAAATAACCACACCAAACGAGTATACATCTGTTTTAGTTGATAGTTTTCCTTTCTCCTGATATTCTGGTGCCGTGTATTCAGAATTCCCTATGCTTTTGTTATTGAAGGACTTCTTCGGTTCGAGTTTTTTCCCAAGGTCAAAATCTCCAAGCTAAAGATATGTTTATCATTTGGAATAATAGTTAGTTCCACAAAATGAGACAATGTATATTCAACAAAACTACATAAGTGTCAAGGTTGTGTACCAGTGGTTTGAAGTCATGTGTTAGAAGAATGTTGCTCGGTTTTATATTTCCATGAATAATGTTATTGTCATGTAGGTACTTTAGACCTCTGGAGAGGCCTATTGCCACTCTTAGCCTTTCACTCCAGGCCAATTTTCTGCAGTTTTCCCCTGAATAATGCAAAAGGTGTCTTTAGTATTAAATTATGAGTTCCGTTCCATTGACTAATAAAGCAACCTATTGAATGAGTCATATATTCACATGTATCAAATACTACATATACCATTGAACCATATCATGTCTTACTTGATAGATACATGTCAAGTGAACCGTTGCATGCATACTCGTATACAATCAACATGAAACGATCTTTTGTAGATGAACCCAATAGCATAACCACATTGTTATGTCTAGCTTTGACGATGGTTTGAACTTCTGATATCATTTTTTCCCTTACTTGAATGTTTGTTATTTCATGCTGCTTAACAACTATATTCAGCTCTCCCTCTAGCTTGCCTTTGAAAGTGGAGAATGGATTTCCACTTTCAGGGAGACAGTTCTTCAATGAAAATCCATCTGTGGCTGCTTCCACTTCTTCATAAGTAAATTCCTTTTGCCATTCAATATTAGGTCTTCTAGTTTTGCAGATAGAGCATATAGAACACCTTGAGCCATTTTTTCCTTGATCCTGGCTCATACGAAGATCTTTTGCTTGATCATTGTTAGTCACAAGTGTTGTGCCCATATCATCCTCATAAGCCATTTTTTCAATATGTTCTTCACCCTGTTGGCATTGCTTATCTCCTATTTTGTTTATGATTTTGTTACTGCTTATATCAGTTACATCCATGCTAGGAATGAATGTTGAGCACCCCTCATCTTTATCGGGCCTAAAATTTATCTGGCTCGCCTCTTCAACATTGATTGGACCTATCATTAGATTCATATCAGATGTAAGTAAATTTGTAATATTAGATGGTCAATAAGATTTAAAAGTAGCCTGATTTAGCTTGCCTTTTATTCTCTAAAAATGAAGTTAGGACAAAAAGTATGTTTTAAAAGATCTTAACTAAAAAAGGTGCTTATCATTTTATGTATAAAAACTAGATTTAGGGAACTTCTTTAAAAGAAATTGTGATGAGCTTCTTCCAATCAAGCCTGAAAGTATTGATGATTTATCTAACTCTTGTTATAATTGAATAAGTGTGCTGAAATCTGAAAGTTCAAATTGTTGTGGTACTAACCGTTGGAAACATCTTCGCCTGGACTTTCTGGTAAACTTTCAGGGTATGTTTCATGACTGTTGCATTGTATTTCCACTGCGACATCTATAGGTCCTCTTATGCGTTCTATGTGATTTTTACCCAGTATTCTAGATATTCCACATGAAAGCTTCTGCATGAAAAACTCTTCATCTTTCTTCATTTGCCTGTAAACCAAGTGCATTCCTTTTAGACATTTGGTACAACAAAGGTGTATGAAATCCCACTTTATATGGTCTTGCTTTAAATATAGTAAAACACATCATAGAGAAATTAGATTATTAGTTGATTTTGCCTAACCTGTCAAGTATCACCCAAGTTGCCTTTAGATTTATGGCGCCTTCTATAGCAAAATCTTTTGGTGAAGATCCTGCATACAACTGTATCTTAAATGTAACCTGAAAATTTTTATGCAGAATTTCAAATATTGCATATTAGGAAGAAAATTGATGCATAGTCATATTAATAATGCCATAACCAAACGAGAAGTTTACATCTTTAATTGATTTTCATATGTATTGATTTTAAATTTAATTTTTTTTGTGGGATTTTGGATCGAACTCTAGTTGGTCGAAGTACTTGCTGTAGTCGAAGAAGGTTCTAGCATGTATTTGTCGAAGGATGCTTGTCGAATTAGGTTTTAGTGTTTAAACCCTAATTTGTTAAGTTAGCTTGTTTGTTAAGTTAGCTTGTATAATGGGCCCTGTGGAAAAAGCCCATTAGTTAGTATGTTAGGTTTTATTATAAATAGCATACTAGTCTCTCATCATTGCCAACACAGCAAATCCTAATTAGGGTGAGAGGGTTATTTGTTATTCTTGTAAACTTGTAATCTTGTTTTCAAAGAGAAAGTAAAGAATAGCAGTTATAACCAATTCTTGTGTTCTTCTTCTTCCTTGTTCTTTATTCTTCCCAAATACTATACTTTGTTATTGGCATTGAATTCACAACAAATTGGTGCGGTGAGCGTGGAGAAGATGCCTTCAACAAAGTATGAGATCGAAAAGTTCACCGGAGTGAATGATTTCGGTCTATGGCGCTTGAAGATGAAAGCTCTACTGGTTCAGCAGGGTTGTTTGGAAGCGTTGAAGGGAGCGACGGCGATGGACGCTGCGCTAACAGAAAGAGAGAAGACGGCCATGATCGAGAAAGCACACAGCGCAATTTTGTTGAGCCTTGGTGATAAGGTTCTTCGACAGGTATCAAAGGAGACGACGGCATCAGGGTTATGGGTGAAACTTGAAAGTTTGTATATGACCAAATCTCTGGTAAATCGACTCTACCTGAAGCAAGCTTTGTATTCATTCAAGATGATCGAAGACAAAGTGTTGGCTGAGCAGTTGGATATGTTCAACAAGCTGATTCTTGATCTTGAAAATATTGATGTAAAGATTGATGATGAAGATCAAGCGTTGTTATTGTTGTGCGCTTTGCCCAGATCACATGCTCACTTCAAAGAAACCCTCTTGTATGGAAGAGAGTCCCTGACCTTTGAAGAAGTTCAATCAGCCTTGTACTCTAAGGACTTGAACGAACGTAAGGAGCATAAACCTTCGACGGTTGGTGAAGGTTTGGCCGTTAAAGGAAAATTCGACAGGAAGAAAGGTAAAAATCAGTCGAAGTCTTATAGTGGTGACGCATCTGGTATTAGATGCTATCACTGTAAGAAAGTAGGTCACACAAGAAAGGTGTGCCCTGAACGCCTGAAAGATCATGGAGGAAAGGATAATGGAAATGCAGCTATTGTCCAAGATGATTTCGAATCATCTGATGTTCTTGTGGTTTCAAGCAACAACTCGTCGAAGGAGTGGATTATGGATTCTGGATGCACTTGGCACATGACTCCAAACAAAGACTTGTTCGAGGAATTATGTGATCAAGATGGTGGATCGGTATTGCTGGGAAACAACAAAGCTTGCAAGATTGCAGGCGTTGGATCTGTGAGATTCAAGCTCCATGATGAGTCAATAAGATTGTTGACTGAAGTCAGGTATGTACCTGATTTGAAGAGAAATTTGATTTCTCTTGGTGAATTCGACAAGAAAGGATATGTTTTTCAAGGAGAGAAAAGTATCCTGAGAGTCATGAAAGGGTCGAAGGAAGTCTTGAGAGGCGTGAAGAAACAAGGCTTGTATACCCTTGAGGCTGAAGTTGTAAGTGGTTCGACAAATGTTGCATCCACGAAACCTTTGTCGAAGACAGAAATTTGGCACATGAGATTGGGCCATGTCAGTGAAAGGGGTCTGGTCGAATTAGGGAAACAAAATCTGCTTGGTGGAGATAAAGTCGAAAAGCTGAAGTTTTGTGAACCCTGTGTACTTGGAAAGTCCTGTAGAATGAAGTTCAACAAAGGCAAACAAAGAACACATGGATCCCTTGATTACATCCATGCTGATCTTTGGGGGCCTGCAAGGTGTCCATCACATTCAGGAGCAAAGTATTTTCTATCCATAGTAGATGACTATTCCAGAAAGTTATGGGTATTCATCCAGAAGACTAAGGATGAAACTTTTGAGAATTTCAAAAGTTGGAAGACTCTTGTCGAAAATCAAACTGGCAGAAAGGTAAAGAGGTTGAGAACCGACAATGGCCTTGAGTTTTGCAATGAGGCGTTCGACAGTTTTTGTGTTGCCTCTGGTATTGCAAGGCACAGAACTACTGCAGGTACTCCTCAACAAAATGGTTTGGCTGAAAGGTTTAATCGAACTATTTTGGAGAGAGTTAGATGCATGTTGACTAGTGCGGGATTAAAGAAGGTGTTTTGGGCTGAGGCTGTTTCGACAGCAGCATATCTGATAAACAGATGTCCTTCGACAGCGTTAGATATGAAGACACCTGAAGAAGTTTGGTCGGGACATCCACCAGATCTCGACAAACTAAGAGTATTTGGCTGTGTAGCCTATGCTCACATTAGGCAAGACAAGGTCGAACCTAGAGCTCTGAAATGCATGTTTATGGGATACCCTGAAGGAGTAAAAGCTTATAGGCTATGGTGCCTAGAGCCAGGTCACAGGAGGTGTATCACCAGCCGAGATGTAGTTTTCAAAGAAACAGAAATGGCTTTCAAGAAAACTGATGATGTTGACGAAGAGCTGGAACAGGTAGAGATTCCTGTTGAGGTGGAGCATGTTGATGCTGAAATGCGTATCCCAGATGAAGTCGAAGAAGAAACAGAAGATTCTGATGATGTTGAGGAAACTGTTGATGACTACCTATTGTCGAGAGATAGGCAACGAAGAGTCATAAAACCACCTCAGAGACTTGGATATGCAGATCTTGTAGCTTATGCCTTAATCTCTGCAAGTGAAGTTCTAGACGAAGAACCTAGAGATTATAAGGAAGTTATGAGGAGTCGAATGAAGACTGAATGGCTAAAGGCCATGCATGATGAGATGAAATCTCTTCATGATAATCACACTTGGGAACTAATCAAGAAACCTGTTGGGGCAAGGTTAGTCAGCTGTAAGTGGATTTTCAAAGTTAAGGAAGGAATTGAAGGAGTAATGTCGAAGAGGTACAAGGCAAGATTAGTCGCAAGGGGTTTCACTCAGAAAGAAGGTGTCGACTTCAATGATGTATTTTCCCCTGTTGTGAAGCACAGATCCATTCGAATGTTGCTTGCCATGGTGGCTCAGTTCGACCTTGAACTGGAACAAATGGATGTGAAGACTGCGTTCTTGTATGGTGACTTAGACGAAACAATCCTGATGAGGCAACCTGAAGGGTATGTCGAAAAGGGGAAAGAAGATTATGTGTGCAAACTGAAGAAATCTTTATATGGACTTAAACAATCTCCTCGACAGTGGAATAAGAGATTCGACAAGTTCATGGAACACATAGGTTTCATTCGAAGTCAGTTCGACCATTGTGTTTACTCCAGATTTCGACCTGAAAATTCATTTGTTATTTTGTTGCTTTATGTTGATGATATTCTGATAGCAAGCAACAATGTCGAAGATGTAATGAGGGTGAAGGCTGAACTCAATAAGGAGTTCGACATGAAGGATCTGGGAGCTGCATCTAGGATTCTTGGAATTGACATTCGAAGAGATAGAAAGCAGTCGAAATTATGCTTATCTCAAGAGGCATACCTACGAAAGATTCTTGACAAGTTTGGTATGTCGAACTCAAAGCCTGTTGTGACTCCAACAAACCCTCAATTCAAGCTGAGTATTGATCAATGTCCCAGTACTGATGTTGAAAGAACCTATATGAATAGCATCCCATATGCTAACATAGTTGGTTCTTTGATGTATGCTATGGTCTGTACTAGACCCGACATAGCATATGCAGTAAGTCTTGTAAGCAGGTACATGGCGAATCCTGGAAAGGCTCACTGGCAAGCGTTAAAGTGGATTCTAAGGTACATAAATGGGTCTCTGAACAGAGTCTTAATTTATGGTGGAGCCTTGGGTGAAGATAGTAAAGCAGCTGTCGAAGGCTATGTTGACTCTGATTATGCAGGTTGTATGGATTCCAGAAAATCTATTTCTGGATATGTTTTCACTATGTTTGGTACAGCAATTAGTTGGAAAGCAACTCTTCAGAAGGTTGTTGCCTTATCAACTACTGAAGCAGAATATATTGCCCTAACTGAAGCTGTGAAAGAAGCATTGTGGCTTGAAGGTTTTGCGAAGGAGCTGAAACTTCAAGGTCAAGGTATCACTGTTAAATGTGATAGTCAAAGTGCAATACACCTGTCGAAGAACTCAGCCTATCATGAGCGAACCAAGCACATAGATGTGAGGCTGCATTTCGTCAGAGGGGTAATCGAGCGTGGAGAAGTCCAAGTGCTGAAGGTCTCGACAGATCACAATGCTGCTGATATGATCACCAAAACATTGCCAAGTTGCAAGTTTTTCCACTGTATGCAGTTGATAAAGCTGCATGAAGAAAGCTAGTTAGTGTCTCTTGATGCTGTAGAGTTAGGTCCAAGGTGGAGATTTGTGGGATTTTGGATCGAACTCTAGTTGGTCGAAGTACTTGCTGTAGTCGAAGAAGGTTCTAGCATGTATTTGTCGAAGGATGCTTGTCGAATTAGGTTTTAGTGTTTAAACCCTAATTTGTTAAGTTAGCTTGTTTGTTAAGTTAGCTTGTATAATGGGCCCTGTGGAAAAAGCCCATTAGTTAGTATGTTAGGTTTTATTATAAATAGCATACTAGTCTCTCATCATTGCCAACACAGCAAATCCTAATTAGGGTGAGAGGGTTATTTGTTATTCTTGTAAACTTGTAATCTTGTTTTCAAAGAGAAAGTAAAGAATAGCAGTTATAACCAATTCTTGTGTTCTTCTTCTTCCTTGTTCTTTATTCTTCCCAAATACTATACTTTGTTATTGGCATTGAATTCACAACATTTTTCTTAAAAAATAAAAAAGAAATTGGTATAGATTTTACCTCATTTGAGTCATACAATTCGGCAATCTTTGCAAGCTCCTCATGGTTCAAATACTCTTCCTTCTTCCTTGCAAGTTCTCCGTCAATGATTCGCTGGTTTACTCCAACCAATCCATTGTTGTCCATCTTGGTTTTATAACCCACTATAAAGGATTTGGTTGAAAATTAGTGAAATAGACAAGAAATTCTTAAAATCTTGATTTCTATAAAAGATTATAATTACTTACTAGGATTGTAAACCTCATGCAAGATTGCAAATAAGGTGACCATATCTCCTGCCTTGAGAGATAAGCCATTTATAACCCAAGAAAATACTTTAAAAATTAGTTTAGATGCATCCTGTATCACCACCACATGCTTTGTTTCAATGGTCATCACTTTTTCTATGTTTAAACAAAACAAGAGAAGTTATCTTCACATAATTATGTTAAGCGGAAGAACTTCATTAATAACATAGAGTATTATAGTTATAAGAGAGACAAAGTGTGATAACATTTTCTTGCTCATATCAGGTATCCTAGGTGAATGTTCCTCTTATACGTAGTGCTTGTCTTTAATGTCTCTTTTGTGGTTGTCAACATACAGACATAGAACAAGGTAATTTACTAAGCTGTTGATGAAAACAAAGTCATTTCTTGGTTGTGTAAAGAATGAGACATCGTATGTACTAAAGTGATAATGAATCTTAAATAACATTTAAGGATTTATATTTTAAAAAATTAAATCAATAATTATTTATATTTAAGGATGATTTGTTTATCAAAATGAATGTTTATATTTAAGAAGGAATCAAGAATATAGTTAATATTTATTTTGTATTTAACTTAACTATTAAATTTCAACTTTGGCGAGGACTTATCAAACACTTCCAAACAAACAAAAGGTTGTCCTAAATTCCACAGTTCAAGATTGACAAACTTATTAGCCTGGTGGTGGATTTGAATTACACAATTTTTCGATTGATTTCAAGTTTGCTACTACTATATTTATGAAATATATATTGCCCATTTCCACTTAGCTAATTTGTCATGGTAACCATAAGAGATTTTTTATTGGAATAATATGACAAGTGTGAGTAAGTGAGAAAATAGTTTTACATTGGATGAGAATGTGGAGACTTAAACATATATAAATTAGAGAACTCACTCACCTATCACCTTAAGATTTTAGATAGATAAGTGATGTATCTCTCACAAAGGTGTCTAGTCCTATACTATGTATCAATGCTCATAGTATCTCCTCCAACAGTGGTAACGGAGTCTTTAGTTCGAAAAAAAGACCGAAAAGAACTTGTATCGAAATACGTCCAAGAGTGATGTCCTAAAATATTTTATAAATGCAGTGATTAGCAAACATAAAATCAATCAAATGCATAGTAAATTATCAATTGTAAGAATTTTTAGTGTGAGACTTAGATATTAGTATAATTTTTAGTGAGAGACTTGTAGTTTTTGTCGGACATAACATAAACATGTTTTGTTTATGGCTGGTAGCCTCCCCACTTCTACACAAAACCAAAGAAACAAGGACCACTACGACAACATTTGTTATTAGTGGTCATGAGAGGTTGATTTTGTAGGTAATAATTTGGTGCTTTGCAAGATGTATATTTGAATCCCAACTTAGATACCAAAATTGAAACTTTGCCTCTTCTATGAGAATTTTCAAAAAAATTAATTTAATTATATAAGCGTTTTTGAGTTCTGAAACTACTATTATGTAAGAACATCTTCAAATTATTTTCTATTTTATGTTTTATTTAAAAAAATGTAGAGTCTTACACTTTTAGAATTCATTTCAACCAAGGTTTTTAAATTAACAAAAAAGTATTGACAGATAAATAATTTTATATCACTTCAAGTGACCACTTATACACTTTTTTAAATATCAATCCATATTATTACTTGTTTCTCAGCAATGTTATCTATGTCTATGTCTCTAATATGAATCATATATTTTTTTATTAAATGATTTCTCGGTTTAACAAACAATATATTAATATTAAACTTCAATAATATAAGTGAATACCAAAATAACATTAAACTTCAACAATAAAAATAAATACTACAGTTAGATCTATGTCTAAACTCTAGCACATTATAAATATTACATAGATATAAATCTAATATCACATCTCGACATCATTTAGATCCATATTTTCTATCATAATTATTATGTCCTTAAGCATAAACACGATTTATCTTTCGTTTAAATATGAGACCATTTCGACACTTCATAGATTACAAACATAATACAAGTATAATAGACATATAAAAATAATAATAAAGATCAAATATGTTTGATTGATTAAGTTGGGTATAACATCGTGATCATATCAAATACAAAGAATACATAATATTGTAAAAACCTAACCCTAACAAAGAGAACAAGTCACACATAACGATGGTTGCTAGATAGAAGTTGTAGATGAAGAACCACATTTACTACAAGAAAAAGCTTGTTTAGTTGGGGGTTAAACCCCTCACAAAATAGAAATTTGAGAGGGGTTGAATTCCCTAGCTAAACAAGTCGCCGCAAATGATTTGCGAGGGGTCTATCACCTTGCCATTTTGTTTGGGACTTTCTCTCGTAAAATGCAATCATTAGTTTTTCTTTTATAGCATGTAGGCGTAGGCGTAGAGTTGTAGTATAGTGTGATGCAGTATTGTATCCGTAGTTAACTTGGGGTTAAACTCCTAACAAATTAACATGTGTTTTGAATTAGCTTGAGGTTTAGCCCCTAACAAATTACAAGAATATTTTTTTTACAGGTTATCTCTAACTATTATTTACTATATAATATAAAAAATATTATAATAATATAATTATAATAATTTGACAGGTTACTCCTAGCTATTATAATTATATTATTATAAATATAATAATATAATTATAATAATTTAGCATTAATATAAAAAATAAATAAATATATTTCAAAATTTTGTGAAAAATAAATTTAAATAAATATAAATAAAATTCTAAAATTAAATCAAATATGATTAAAATTGAAATAAACTCTTTCATGCAAATTGAAATACACTTAAAATTAAATTCAACAAAGTTAAACTTAAAAATACAAAAATCATATTCAAACATTCTAATTATTTTCCTCTTCCTCTTCCTCTTCCTCTTCCTCCTCAACAACTCCTCCATATCCATTTACTCCTCCATATCCACCACCAAAACCCTGTAAGACGATAAATTGTTCAAATCTCTGTGTCCACTCATTTGCAATCCACATTGCTTTTTTATACTCCATTATTTACCTCCTTTTTTCTTCATGCATCTCTATTTCTTTTCTCCTCATTTCTTCTTGCATCTCTATTGATTTTCTCTTCATTTCTTTCATTTTTGCGTTAATTGTTGTTACTTCGCGTATTGCCTCGACATGCGCTAAGTTTTTCATAGTTTCTAGCATTTTATCAGTTAATATAGGTGGAGTTGATGTTTCTTCTCCATCAGCAAGTCTCACTCTGAAATTCCTATCACACTGCTTGATAGTATTGGCGAACCCTCTAACACCATACACTCTCTCATTTTCTTCTTTCTGCCTAATACATCATACCAAGTTCGAAAACTCATACTAGGGTCATTAGGATATCCCAGTGGCAATGCAGGTAATTTAGAATGCTCTGATAGAGTAAGGGGCAAGTCGTTTATCATAATCCTCCTATAAAAATAAAAGAAAATTAAATGTTATCTTAATTTTGTGAGGGCAAGGTCCTTCCATATTTGTTTTAATAATGTCAAAAACATTTATTGTTTGCTCTTGATCTGGGCTGGTTCTATTGACAAACTTGTTAGTGGAATGGTTGGAATGAAGATCTCTAGAAACATTCATTTTTGGGAGATTTCACTGTTTGCAACGACTCAAGCTAGAGTTAGGTCAACTCATAGCTTGAAGAAGATCAATCCATCAAGCTCCGGTATGCTTGCATCTACCCTACTGGTCGACTCACACTGGGAGAAAAATTCTCATTGTTTGTCGCGACTCAAGCTAAAGATAGGTCGACTCATAAATTGAAGAAGATCAATCCATCAAGCTCGAGTCTGCTGGCGTCGACCCTTCTGGTCGACTCACACTAGGAGAAAAATTATTTATGTTTACATTGACTCATGTCCTGTTGTGGTCAATGCATTGCTTCCTCAAAGGTCTTCCTACAATGCTCGGGAGTGCTCGCGTGGAGTGGGACTCCTGCATGAGTCGACCACTCGCTTCTTGCACTCAATTTTCTGCTATGTTTTTAGGTCTTGACTATTTGGTAACATATATATATATATATATATATATATATATATATATATATATATATATATATATATATATATATATATATATATATATATATATATATATATATATATATATATATATATATATATATATATATATATATATATATATATATATATATATATATATATATATATTAATTGGATTTCATCATTTGGGGTTAACAAGAAAAGGTGAAAGATATACACCAACTTCTCATCATCTTCATCCTTTCATTGCATTCATCAACAATTACACATAACAATTTTTGTTGATTAAAGTGTAGAGTTGTGCTGATAACGTTAAATTGAAGATTGATTTCAGATTTGGGTTGAGAATTAAATTGATTTTTTCTTGAATAAAATTGTTAGGATTTTGTCCTCCAAGATTCTGTTTGGTGCAGGGGTTTTTGCACAAGTCTTTGCTTCATTAAATTCAGTCGAGTGAAATGGTTGAGAAATGGTGGGTTTACTCAATCAAGTAGCGGTAACCGGAGGATTGTGAAGAAAGATTGGGATCAAACGCCTTGCGATCAAAATCATCCGAGTGAAAGATTTGTAGAACGAATAAATCGTGAAATCAAGTAGCGGTAATCGGAGGTTTGTTTGAAGAGTTTGGCATACTTGGTTTGGTTTGAACCAAGGGGAGAGAAGGGAATAGTTTCATCATCAATAATTGATTTTTATATAGCAAAGACTATTGCTTCTTGTGATATGGTGCCAGAATCAACTGTTATACTGGTTTGCGTTTTTTGTTTGCAAATATCGTGGTAAGCAAGAGTCGCCACCGACTTTTCTTTTATCCAACAAAGGAAAGGGTGAAAAGAACAGAAAAAGACCTTTTTCGAGATTTTCTGAAAAGGGAAGGTGTTAGCACCCTTTCCATCTGTGGTTTTCCACGGGCTCTTAGGTACTTGCTCATTTTTTAAAACTGTTTGTGTTTTGTGTGTTTTGAAATATTTTTGTTTGCTTTATGATAATTCTTGTATCAGTCCTCAAGATTGTGATAAAGCATTTTTGAAAAGAGTTTTTGAAAAGTCTGTAAATGTGAAAAGATTAGGTTTGAGCGAGTACTTAAGAACCATCTACATACTCGAAAAAGG